TTACCTAATGGTCCAGGGCTAGAAATTCATGTGAATCTCTGAATCTAATTCGCGCAAGGATTCTCACAAGAGCCTACGCTGCGAATCTATAAGGGTTTGCGTAAAATTTTTCTTAAAAAAAAAATCTCAGAGAATTGTCAAGTCCAACTGTTGAATATCAGTCAGGGTCATTGTTCTTAATCGGCTGTATTTTGTGGGATTTAGCCGATTGATTTTTAATCTAGCCGATTGGTAAAACAATGAATCGGCCACATGGTATCATAAATCAATCTACTTTTGGCTAATATTACAACGCGTTAATTATTACTTGTTGATAAAGAAGTGTCGGCTACAACAGTCATACCTTAGTGACAATCGGCCATATGTGGTTCACAATCCGATTATTTAGCACATTTAACGGTGATTTTGATAATCCGGTAAAATAAAAAAAAAAAAATTTGCTGATAATTCATACTAAGTTCAGTAAAATACGCCACGTGGTGAATGAAGACGATCTTGGCATGGTTTGCGAATCGGGCATCTTCCACGCTCCGTCTGTGTGAATTCCAGGTACCGATAGATATTCAAATAATAACTGGATCATACATAGAACACCGAATACACAGAGAGAGAGAAACAGTGGATATTTTCCCAACAGAATCTTGAATACCGAATTCCAATGACATGTGACGTTGGAATTAGGTCAATAAACCAGTTCTAAATGGTGTTTACCGTTATGATTTTTTATTTTATACACATGCTGACAGACTTAATTTTAAAACTATTATTGAAGGCTATATCATAGTCGTACAGAATTTTATTTTATAGCAACTTTAGTTATGGTTGTCATGTGATCATTGTGCCATTTGTCTATCATCGACGAATGAATAAAAAAATTTGCAAGTTACGTGACTAGTTATGTGATGGACAAAAGACTACAAATTGTGCTATGAAGAAATGCCATGGTGCTGTATCAGCTTATTTTGACTACAGCATTTTCTGGATATTACATTTGACACAATTTAAGTGTTTACCAAAAACTCCATCTGATTGGGTTTTTTTTTATCATTGTTGTTGTATTTTGGTGTTTTAGATTGACACAATAAACACAATTTTGTTTTTTAGACAGTATTATTTATTAAGATTCGGAGGATTCGCGCAGATTCCATATATGAGAATCCTCTTAGATTCTTGCAAAAAATGACGAATTTCTAGCCCTGTTGTCAATGCTAGCCAGAAAGGACTGGGAGCTGCAATTCTAGAGCCAGATCGCCTAGAAAATGGCGAATACAGTCAAAAGACATGACCAGTAGCTTTTGCAAGTAAATCTCTTTCTAAGGCGCAGAAGAATTACAGAAACATTGAACGAGAAATGTTAGCCGTAACATTTGGAATCAAACGTTTCCATACATAGAATAGACCATTTACTGTGATATCACATCACAAGCCATTGGAAATAATCTACAAGAAACCAATAAATTCAGCACCAGCTAGGCTGCAAGCCATGTTATTAGCTGTACAAGTTTATCTCTATACTGTCAAGCATGTCCATGGGAAGGACATCGGTTTAGCTGACACACTTAGCAGATTCCCTAGCAACGAAGATAGCAAAGTTGAAATTGACATTAAGGTTGAATTCCTTCAATTCAGCAAAACCAAACTCCAAAACATTGTATCGGAAACCAACAATGATGAAACACCCAACAAGTTAAAGAAGTCTTACACTCTGGGTGGCCTGAGCAGCATATCGTGATGAACTTGGTATATCAGATGGCCTTATCATTAAAGGAGAGAGGGTATTCATTCCAACAAGTCTACGTTCCGGAATATTATCTAATCTACACACCGGACATCTTGGAATCACCAAGACTCAACTGCGAGCACGAAAAGATGTCTACTGGCCTAAAATTAACACAGACATTGAGAAAATGTGCAATTCCTGTCCAGTTTGCCAGGAACATCAGTCAAAACAAACCTTTGAACCTCTGCTACAGACATACATACCCAATTGTCCATGGAGTGTTATAGGCACAGACCTGTTCCAGATTGGTCAAAACAACTTTTTGATCATCGCTGACTATAATACGAAATTCCCAGTAGTTGAGAAGCTACCCTCACCAGCAACGTCAACTGTAGTAGCCAATGTAATTAAACGATATTGTTCTATTATGGGTATTCCAGATGTTATGCGTTCAGATAATGGTCCACACTTTGTCGGATACAGCTACAGAAGTTTTGTTGCAACATGGGGTATAGAACACATCACTTCTTTGCCAAGATATCCCAGATCTAATGGATTAATAGAACGCCAAATCAGAAGTTGTAAATCAATCATCAAGAAAGCTACAATGAAGAACTACACCTATCGACATCAAGATAGACAGTCCTTCTCAACTTCTCTTCCAAAGATGGATAAAAGGTACACTGCCATGCATGCTGTGTAACAAATCACCAGATCGTCATGAAATCAAACAACGCTTCAAAGCATGGCAGGATGATCAGGAATATTACCATGATCAACATAGGAAAGTCTTACCTTCCTTGTATGCAGGACAGAGAGTAACTGTTCAAGATACAGAAACTGGGAAGTGGTATACAGCCGTCGTAATTGAGAAATGTACAGAGCCACGAAGTTACCTCATACAAACTTCAAACGGTTTGGTATTACAACGTAACATTGTTCAACTACGTGAAGCACCAACTGCACCCAAATCGTGTATCGCTACTCATAATACAGAACATAACAAGAAAAAAAAAAAGTTATGTTTAACAACTCGCCCACATACAGTATGATATACACACCAGGAAGACCAGCAAACCAGAATCAACCAAATGCACCATTGGTCAGCCCTAATAATTATACTGTTACTACTGATATAAGTACGTCAAAAACAAGAGAATCATTCACTGCTCGACTGAGTCAATCATCACCACCGTCGCAATTATCACTTGAACATCATCTTCCAGATAAATCACTATCTAAGCACTACAAATCACACCAACTAGTGCAGAAACCAACTCGTTACCAACCATAATGGAAATTGATAATAGAAAATGTACATTTTTAATTTTATTAGATTTATCTGCTGCTCTCGACACGGTGGACCCTTCCATTCTTCTACGTAGACTTCAAATTTTTAAATTCGGTATTTGTGGCTCTGCATTAATTCTTTTAGAAAGCTATCTTGTGGGTAGAAAACAGTGTATTTTAGTTAATTGCAAATCGTTGTCTGAATCTGTTTTGTCATCTGGGGTTCCCAAGGTTCTGTTCTTGGTCCGATTTTATTTACCCTCTATACGTCACCATTAGGTGATATTGTCAGAAAATATGGTCTCAGCTTTCATTTGTATGCCAATGATACTCAATTATATATTTCATTTACACCTAATTGTCCATCTTCTTTCAATTTATCAAAATTGCAACTTGAGAACTGTATTAGTGAAATTAGAAAATGGATGTCAAAGAACTTTTTAAAATTGAATGATGATAAAACCGAATATTTGTTATTAGGCTCAAGGCATCAATTAAGTAAATTTGCACATGATAACCCCCCTGTTGTAATAGGTAATTGTGATATATTTTCATCTTATTCTGCTCGTAATATTGGCACAATCTTTGATAGTTTTATGCTTATGGGAGCTCAAGTAAATAATATATATTTGTAAATTGTGCTATTTTAATATCAGAAATATAGGTAAAATACGTAAATTTGTAACTGTAGAGGCCACTAATTATAAGTCACTTGTTAATTCTCTGGCCACTTCTCGATTAGATAACTTTAATTCACTTTTAGTTGGTTTACCTTTAAAGCTTATAGATAAATTACAAAAAGTACAGAACACTGCTGCTAGACTTGTTACTTTAACTAAGAAATGTGACCACATAACTCCTGTTTTATATAATTTACACTGGTTAACTGTTAAATATCGAATTGATTTTAAGATTTTATTACTTACTTTTAAATGTTTAAATAATTTAGCTCCTGTTTACCTCTCAGATCTTTTAGAACTTTATACACCTGGCCGAACATTACGTTCATAAGATAAACTACTTTTAAAGCCCAAAACTGTTCAACTAGTCTCTTATGGTCAGCGCTCTTTTAGTTATCAAGCACCTGTTTTATGGAATAATCTACCATTTAGTTTAAGATGTTGTACATCTCTATATTCTTTTAAAAAACAACTTAAAACACATTTATTTAATCAAGTTTTTAACTGACTCTGTATACAATCGTTAACATGTCCATAATCTTGTTGTTTATTTATGATTTACATTGTCACTTTGTAAAAGTGCCCCTGAACATGTTATATGAAAGGGTGCACTATAGATATGCTGTAATAATAATAATAATAAATAATTTCAAATAGACAATCATTATGAAACCTTTAATGCATGTGTTTTATCCATAGACAATCAACAATAGTGAACATTAATGCATGCCTTTCAGTTCTCTAGACAATTTTCTTTCTCTTTTTTTATTATACAAAGGGGGATGTCATATTATAAACATAACCCCTGTGACCTTTAACCTACAACCCCTATGCCCCGCTCACTATAGGCTAATGTATTACGTCACACTAATAAAGCTTCCATCATGGCATACGTGTTGATGTTACAAATATTGGTGTCAGTCATTATTACATATGTGTTAGAACTGGTTAAACACATTCCAGATATAATTTTAACACAGAGATCATTGCTACGGTAGATGTGTAACAAACACCTGAAGAAACGGGAAGTGACGACAGACATGACAAACACCAGTTATCCTTCTGTATAACTGACTGAAGTAACGAGCGATAACAGATACACAGTTGAATTTCATTTCACTGATAATTCCTTTCAAGATAAAAAGTTGTTATATGAGATGGTGAGAGCATATCTGGCAATTCAGAAAAAGAATTGGCTGCCAGTAGATAAAATAAATCCAGAATAAAAACAAGGAAATGTACCGAATTTTTCTATTTTTCTCATAGTCGTAATGCTATTTTACAATGTCTTTAAATTTTTATCTTTACAGCAATTAGAAGAAATGAGAAACAAATTTGTGATACATTAAATACATCTTGTCCTAAGAAATTAAAATATGCGCCAAGAAAGAGCGGAAAGATGCTTCAAGAGGATGAAAAAAACATTAAAGATAATTATGCGTTTCTACTTAATAATATAACTGATCCGGAACGTTTATCAGATCGTCTGTTCGGAAAATTAGTTTTTGATACCGACGATATGGAAAAAATAAAACACGTAAAAGGAAAAAGGAAAATGAACTGTGAACTAGTTAAGACATTACTTAATGGCGGACCAAATTCCTACCAAAGTTTCATTGATAGTTTAAAGGAAGAAGGTTACACGACAATAGTTGAACAATTAGAATCAAGTAAGTTTGATTGACTAAATTTTTAACCCAATATTGGTTTTCTAGATCACAAAATCATTATACTCTCTCTCTCTCTCTCTCTCTCTCTCCCCAGGAAAAGGTAACCCTATTATACAATATCTTTAAATTCAGGTACAGATGAGAGATGTGGAGAAATGTCCGGTTCCCATTGGAATCAGTTCATGATTAGAGCAACAGGTGATAGAAACTATGATGTATCACATTCAGAAGTCGGGAACAGATCAGAAATACACAAGAAACATGGCGAGGTTGATATTGTGAAAGTTGTGGTCAAGAAGTCCAACAACACTGTCATTTTATCGAAGGTGAAATCTGACCATCAAAAGGTCAACGTAAAGCAGGAAATAATATCAAAATGTCGACGTAATGTTAAAAATATCGCCAACTGTGTTTTGTATGAGAACCAAGACTCCATGTTTAACGATGTATTAGAAGATAAGCAAGGTAAAATATTTATATACTGAGCGCCATAGAAAACGCATCCCTTTTTTTTCCCAAATATTTTATTACTAGGTGGTTTTGTATGTATAATATTATGCAATACTATGAACTATTGTTTCACGCAATGCTCCCAAACACAAAAAATATCGGCCCTTGTGCAAAAAAAAAAATTGCACGAGATGCACATGATAAAACCCAATATTCACGTGCAGCATTGTGTGTGAGCCCTTTAAAAGCATGTTTTCAACTTAATGTGCAGTACATGAACTGTGAAACGTCAATCTGTCGTAATTTGTTGTTGGACGTGTGAAGGAATCGAGCTAGAGATGCCGAAACTTACTGAAAATCAACGGAATGAAGCCATGGGAATGTCCAGGGCTGGCATGTCTACACGTGCTATTGCCAGACACTTCAATTGTCATCAGTCCACTATTTTAAGGTTGGTGGAACGTGTTCGAGTTACTGGATCAACACGTGATCGTCAACGTCCTGGTCCACAACACCTTACAACCCAGGCTCAAGACCGCTACATCCGGGTCACTCATCTGCGTGACAGATTCCGCCCAGCGACTCGAACAGGTGCAGCAGTCGTCGGAAGACAAGGACCAGTAAGTGCCTACACCTTACGACGTCGTCTAAGAGAAGTAGGACTCCGTGCACGACAACCTTATGTTGGAGCTATCCTCAGGAATCATCACCCTCAGCGGCGTTTGATATGGGCTGAAGGACACCAGACATGGAGAAGAGTAGACTGGCAAAGTGTGCTCTTCAGTGATGAAAGTCGCTTTCATCTTTATCGTGCTGATGGCCGTCAACGTGTGTGGAGACGTCTTGGGGAACGTCTTGCAGACTGCTGCGTCTTCAGAACGGACCGATGGGGTGGGGGAAGTGTAATGGTGTGGTGAGGCTTCACATTTCATCACCGGACCGCCCTACACATTTGCAGGGGTCGCGTTAATGCTGTAGCCTACCGTGATGATGGCCCGTGGAGGACACACGCGCTACTGACATCTGTGTCGTACTTTTGGTTTATACCCCTCTGACTTTGTACCCTTGATTACAGATTAAACATCCATAAGTGTACAAATTTGTTGTTATTGATGTGTTCCCATTTGAATATTGTTCACAATAAGAAGCAAAATAAATACGATATGTTTACAGGATCATTTTGTTATACGAAAAACTAAGTGATGCATTTTCAATGGCGCTCAGTATATTTATATTATTGTTAATGTGTTTTAAATGTTTATTGAACTGTGGTCGTATATTGTCATATCCGCTGTCTGTCTGCCTGACTTCACAATTGCCTGTGGAAGTTGGGGTCTAAAGTTAATAAACAATTTACTTTAACTTATCCACGGTGTCCAGGATCATGAGACGAAGAATTCCGTCAACAATTTCCGATATTACCCTGTTTATATATTACATAGTATAACTAGTGGAATCAAGGCCTTATATTCTTATACCATGTTTATATATTACATTTTAGAAGATCATGTTAAAACAACTGATATAGCAGTACATATGACAGCTAGAACGAGTTCTTGAGACGAAGAAGCCTATTGATTTTCAGCTATTACCGATAATTACTGCCAGAGTCATGGCCCTTGATCACTTTGAAAAATCTTGTGGACGCTCTAGAGGCCAAGGTTAATATCCGATTGACTGTAAATTTATACACAATGTTTAATGTCATGAGACGAAGAATCCTATTGATTTTCAGCGATTTCCGATAATTACTGCCAGAGTTATGGCATTTGATCACTTTGAAAAATAGTGTGGATGCTCTAGAGGCCAAATTTGATATCCGATTGACTTTAGATTTATACACAGTGTTTAAGGTCATGAGACGAAGAAACCTTTTGATTTTCAACAATTTCCGATAATTAGTGCCAAAGTTATGGCCCTTGATCACTTTGCAAAGTCTTGTGACGCTCTAAAGGCTAAAGTTATCATCCGATTGACTTCAGATTGATACACAGAGTTTAAGATCTTGAGACGAACAAGTATATTGATTTTCAATGAATTTTTATGGCTTGAACAGCTAAATCCATGATATTAAAAGTTTTGTAAACAAAATGTTAGCATGGGGCAGAACTTTATAAAAACCAAACAAATTCTAATGGTTTTCTGAGTTGTTGAACTTAATCAGATTTTAGTGTATTATAAATGTTTCATTACCCCAAAAAGTAAAACTCTTGTTGACTGCCCGGGCGATTTTGGTGCTGTGGGCCTATGTTTCGTTGCCTGGCAACCTATCTTTGAAGCTTAATTTGCGATATTAGCGTATTATGATTTTTTTGATATGAACATTCTAAAAATTTGAAGGAAAGAATATGACTTTAACTACCTATAATAATTTATGAGAAAAAAGGAAAAGTTCAGAATCGAGTTAGAGTGCGACATGTTTTAATTTTGAAGATTATCATTCCGTTTTGGGTGCCCAATTCATTCAAAGGCGCCTAACCAATCTCACTCGGCATTATGGGTGCTCACGATCTCAGCAATATGATCGCCCCTCTTTAATGAGGCACCCCACCAATCATGCCGTTTTGGGCGCCCCGTTGATCAGGTTGTGGTGTTAATCGTGTGAATCATTATGAGGTGACTCACCAGGCGTGTTAATCGTGTGAATCATTATGAGGCGCCTCAGGTAAACTTTTAGTTCAGATTAGATTTGGGGCTAAATTCGTAACCAATATTTGAATTGAAACAAAGCATCTATATGTAATATTTTCACTAAAATAGATATATGTCAAAACCCAAATAATACTGTAAGTGAGTGGCAATTGTAATGCAGAGAAGAAAAAAAATCAACCGTCATAATGAAGATGTACATACGCCAGCCATACATTACGGTCTACTCTTTATTTCGATTTTTGAAGTTCTTTTACATGCACGTCCACGTGTGCACGGGACCTCCGTTTTATATTCCATCCGAATAACTGGACGCTGCCCATCACAGCCACCCCCCTGCTATCTGCACCACTGACAAGGGGAAACAACGCTGGAAAGTGGAAAGTTTGGGGAACTGTCTAGGTCAACACAGGCATCAAACCCCAGACCTCCTGATCAGTGAGCCACAGACAAGGGGAAACAATGCCCCCCCCCCACCTCAAACAATAATGTATGACGTACGCCCATCTTCATTATACGGGTTGGTACAGAACAGTAAGACATTAAACTCCAACTGATATTTTTTCTTTTCATTACAATATTGTCACTCCCATTACAGTATTATTTAGTGAGAAAACTAAATATCTGTAGATGTTATGTTTCAGGTTAAATATTTGTTAGACCTTTAGCTTCAAATTCTATCTGCATAAAGGTTGAACTTATATAGGCCCTTGTCTGTAGTTAAATCCTTTTACTGTTATCAATAATTATTGATATTTTCCATAAACGGAGATAACTCCTTTTACCATAAAAGGATTTCCAAAATTCTGTATGTTTCCTTGTCCATTATGCTTTCTGCATTTTGCTTTAAATCAAAATTTAACCAACAGTATATTCTTTGCATATGATGAAGGCATCAGGTGTTTTCGTCAATATTTACTTTTGTCAAATTCACAATTAGTATAAATATAGCATTTGCTTAACGATTATCACAATTTTCATCTGGCCCTCAATTGAGTTAGTGCAGACTTTTTGCTTGGAACTCTCTAGTTTTGTGTTCCTGATGTTAAAAGCTTTCCAAACATGTATAGTTTGTTTATTTGGGAGGACCATGTAGCGGAACTTCAGCCTAAAAATTTTGGCTGCAGGCCTATCTAACTCGATTCTGAACTTTTCGTTTTTTGTCACAAAATATTATAGGTAGTTAAAGTCATATTCTTTCCTTAAAATTTTTATAATGTTCATATCAAAAAAATCATATGACTCACATAAAGTCAAGTGACATTTGTTGGGCGCCCTGCCAATCTCGTACTGGGCGCCCAACCAATGTCACTTTGCCTTATGTGGCGCCCATACTGATATGGGCACGTTGATCGTTGGCTTCGTATTGCATCCAATGGAAAGGGCGTCGTCGCGCCCATTTGTGGAGCCAAATTTTTCCAGGAGGGCTCAGCTGCCCCCCCCAACCCCCCGCTAGATCATATTAAATGTTATAAATTAGCTAAAGTATGGACAAGAATTCAGAAAAAGAATTGGCTGTCAGTAGATAAAAGAAATTGAACAAATTAGAAAAAGTCCATACATTGCCATGTTTTTATTAAATCCAGAATGAATAGGATGCACAGGATTTTTTTATTTTTTCTTGTTTTATTTTATCTACTGACAGCCAATTCTTTTTCTGAATTGCCAGATATCCTCTCATCGTCTCATATAATAATTTTTCATCTTCAACGGAATTATCAGTGAAATGAAATTCGACCGTGTGTCTGTTATCGCTCGTTACTTCAGTTATTTATATAGAAGGATAACTGGTGTTTGTCATGTCTGTCGTCACTTCCCGTTTCTTCAAGTGTTTGTTACACATCTACCGTAGGAATGATCTCTTGGTTAAGAGTCATTCCACGAGAAAACCATGCAATATCATGCAGATGTTCGAAGGTGGGGGTCGGTCGTTTTATTTCATATTCACAGGGTTTGGTCAACCCATCGTTTCTACTCCCCAGCCAACATCGCTGATTTCAGAATTTCGGCTGATTTTTGCCATTTTCAGGCCAAATTTGGCTATTTTTGTCGTACTACTACTGCTGTTAAACTAGAGTTTGGTTGTTCGTGATAATCGTGGTCTTACCCGATCACTTTATTATGGTAACCCGGTTCAAGTTCATTTTCCATAGGTGTCACAAGATACGTGTCTGGAGATACCTGATCGCGATAACTCAACTGGAGCAGAGTTTGCGATAAAAATTAAAATCAATTTATTTGCAGCTTGACCAGTTCTAAAAACATAAGAAATAAAATCGTTGTCAGCTAACTTGCAACAGTATGAAAATTTGTGTCGAAAGTTACCAAAATCGTCGGTTTTTATTGGGATACATCGGCGGATTATT